CCTAAACACTCCTTTTTAAATTGCCAGCTATATCTAGGAAGAGTCCTGGTGGTGGGGGTTGCTAACTATCTTCCATTTGAAAATGAATGATGCCACTTTGCTCATTGGAACCTTCAAAGCAGCAGAGATATTCCGTATCTTGCCCAGATTTGTGCCTCAAGACAACCTTGTCTCTGAAATCCAAACCCAGTGTCTTAAACACCGTGGCAAAGCTTCATCGAAAAGACTCTTTGAAGAAGGTTCAGGAAAGAGATGATAGTTAAACTATTCGGAAAAGACTGTAACATAACTAAATGTTGAAAAAAAGCATGTTGTGAATATTGGTGTTATGATCAGTTATCGCAATTATTATATGCTTTTCCTACCACATGTGTGCAGTAATTTTTTGGATCAATAAAGTCTGTCAATCAATCAATTGACAACAATATGAAAACAATTTTTCATTCTATTAGTATTTATCTATATAAATGAATAAAATTATGTATTTTAACCTGATACATGTACCCTAAATGGTATAAAACAAATGGAGAAATTAAATACAACCAGATATTTCTATTAAGTCACCTTATGAGCAAGCAAGTAAGACACTTGGAAGCAGCCATAAATACTATACATATATATTGTTAAGATTATACTGTAATCATCATTTTTATGTGTGCGTATCATGACAACAGTGTTTTGATAATGAGCTTTAGATACAAACTTTCCATTTAGATATATTAATGAAAGAGTACAAACTTCAAAGCACCTGTGAAATATTGATGTATTTCAACATGGCATTGGCCACCTTGAACCTCAGCCAGTCACCTCTGCACAAAGGACTACACTGTACCCATTAAACTGCACATCAGAAAATAGCCACCGGCACAGTGGCAATGATGAATACATAATATCTGAGTATCTTATGGATCTGTTTGTCTAACTGGGACTATTAAGCTGTCCTTTCTCTCTCACACGCACGCAATGTTAAGACTGTCTGATTAATGATAAACTATAACAGATGCAGTATATTTACACACAGGCACCTCATCCCATTCCCAGCCCACGCTTCACTGACCAAATTAAGTTTCGTCCACAAAACCAAAGCTGCAGCCACTTTTCACCCAGTGATGGTGGCTGGTTAACTTATCTTGATTACTCAGCACTGTCAACAGATTTTCCACAAACTCTGTAGGGTAGGGTTCATATAAGGGCATGTGATATGGGCTAGAGTCAAATGTGTTTACTGTTATTATCGGCTCCAGAAAATATAACTATTTAAGACGACAGTATTTTAAAGGTATCTACCTACATTGCTTATATCATCATTTAAATAAATAAAGAGCGGGCTGAGTCTACATTAAAGCTTGTGGGGGAGTCATAGATGCATCATGATTTCTGTCATTTTATAATTAATTTTCTATTTAGTACATAGATCTGTTCTCAATGGCTTTTGATATAATAATACTGATGCGCCACCGGACCCATGTGGCACCTCACATTAACTCTAGCTTGGAGTATTGGTTCTAAATTGATTAATGTTATCTGACCTGTATGATATATTTCTTTTTTCCAGATACTGTCTACTTTCTCTCTGTCACCATTTTCTTTCCAACACCTGCATCAAAGTAACTTTCCCCTCCAGTCTGATCTTTTTGTTTTCTGCTTCTCAGCTCTTATTGACCGTAATGAAAACTGACGGCCTATCTGGCTCTAGAAATTCTATTACCAAAAGCCTTTTGGAGGTCCACTTACTTTCACAGCTTTGACACATAAACTATTCACAGGTAGGAGACAAACATGTGCGTTCTCATTCATGCTATATGTTTCTCTACAAAGAAAAATGCAGATATTGACTCAGGTATACAGCAAAAGATTGCAAACTCAGCAAGCCAGTTTTTACTAGTAATGACTGAAGGAAACATGTGATTGCAAACTCTTGCCCAGCACTTTCTGTATTCTGTTTGTACTCAATAAACTACACCTCAGCATATGTTGGTAGTCACACCCCAGGCAGAAGGAGGAGTGTCTTAGGGACGCTACTGCAGAGAGCCTAGTTGCCAACCCACTGCGCCAACCCTGATGACATTGTTGCTATGCACAATTCACAAGAGCAAGACCAGTCCTACTGTGAGTGACTCAGCTATTCATGTTAAATATGTCACATAAAGGTGAAAAGTATGATTTATGCCATTTTAATTTTCTTCGTTAACATGGGGGTTGGTTATGGGAGGAATTTTGTCAAAAAGTAAATCAAAAAAGTTGTATAGAAAATTATTGATGATACCGATCCCACCTTTCCATTTTCTTTTTCCTTTGACAGGAAGATTTCTTAGACATACGGTTTTTAGAAATTTTCAAACAGTAGTCATAAACTTATCTTTAGACACCACCAATTTTATTTTATGACAGTCACATAAGCTTGTTGGGTCTTTCCTTCCCAATTTGATTAATCTAAAGGATAAAAGAAGAACAAAATACTAATAATACCTTCACATTACCCAATCTAATTTATGTTTTTAATGGGGGAATGATTTTTATAAACACTTTCAGGGTAAAACTGTTGAAAATATTTGTTGTCTGTTCGAGTTGAAAGAATATTCACAGATTCACAGTAACAGTAATGCAGCTCTACTGCTTTTCATTCATGGCAGCTTGATACTTCAACAGTATGAGGTTTTTTAGGTGAGCATTTCCTCATTACATCCCCTTTCTTGAATATGATAATCAAGATGGAGTGAAAGGCTTAAGTATAATTATTTTTGGAAAATATTTCACTTGTTCTTTTATATTTAAAAATAGTCAACAGTATGTATTAAATTGCTGTGGGGACTTATATTTAAAGGACTGTGTAAACAGTTGAAACAGAGGCAAAGGTACAGTTTCTACATGAAAATGATACAGTATGTATATCTGATGAGGTAAAAATGGGACATAGTTCCTCTGCTTATCCTCCAATACTTAGGTCTGGACCAGAGGTTAATGGCACCATAAATAGCTGAGTTCAGTTAAAGATTATCATAAATAAAAAAATAAAAAAGAAGGTGTGGGGGATAAGTGCGCTCAAAGTGGTATTGGAAAAGAAAAAACAAATGAAAATTAAAGTTAAAATGAAAGGAAATATATCTTATAGGAAATATTACCTGAGAGAGATTTTGGAATTTAAAGTTAGCAACGATATTTATTATTTTGTTTTTTTATTCAAAACTGGCTGCTGTTTACAGCTGGCATTTCTGGGAGTCTGCTCACATTAGATCCAGTTTTTTAAAGTGTGCATACAGAAGATGGAGCCATTATCCTACTGAGCAGATTGCAGTGTCATAAAGGTCTTTAAAAAAATATATATTTTTTTCAATTCCAGTCTTCGAAGTGGCTGAAATGGCTGTCATGTTCACCAGAGTCATGCTAGGGGCCTGATTATTTGACTCAGGTGTGTTGAAGCAGAGGCAAAGCTCAAATGTGCAGGACATCAACTACGGGGATTGAAATAAAAGAACTCTGCTCTAAACCTAAATGGCTAGGTTTTTCTATCAAGCTGTTTTGTTATAGGACTGGAATGAAGAGTTGAGTAAATTTAGGGTTTACTCACTTACAATGAATTCCATTTTTCAAGTCAGCTCACAAGTCACAAGTGAATTTCTCCATTGTGAGATCAATAAAGTTATATCTAATCTAATCTAGCTAACAGTTTTCACTATGTTTAATGATGCTTGTCAGTGCAGAGCTCAGTGTTTTGTATTGGGCTAGAAGTTTTTGCCACGTTCATCACTTTGGGTTTATTCAGACATAATTATGTAAAAGTTTTTTTAGAACTGTATGATTTTTGTTCTCCTAAGTTCAACATTCATTGTAAGCTCAGGAACCCTTTTTATTCTATTCAGATTCTTTTTTTTCTGAGTTTCTTTTTTGGTACCCAATGCATTGTTTTCTGACACCTACTGCCTTTTCTTTCAAAATATTGTATTTTTTGGAAACCTAAACAGGTCCTAAATTGTACACCGTACTTGATATGGTTTTCAAATCAATTAATCTTCCTTTCATCCGATTAAGCCATAATGAGCTATTCTGGTGCATTTTAGGCAATGGCTCAGCACAATTTCATATGGGTTTTACTAAAAAAAATAGCTACAGTTAAATCATTCTAGTTTATAAAGCCCTTCAGTTTATAAAGCACAAGGTAGACAAATAACCAAAAAAAACAACAGAACAAAACCCCCCACACAGTCAATAAATATTGACATCTCGGTTCTTTAAGCTTTGATATTAAAAGTACATATAAGTATATTTGAAGTTAAACTACATTTTAAAGGAGGTAAATGGCTAAAGAAAAATATATTTAAAAGGGGAGAGAGGGACATTTTTAAGATGACAAGAAGAATTTAAAAAGCCTTAGAGGGAATAATTTTAAGAAATACTGTGAATGACAGAGAAAGGTTGAACTTGACAAATACAGAAAGAAATGTGGAGGAAAAAAGGTCTTCAAGACAGTCGGCATTAGAGGATGGGGCTGAGAAAAAGTTCAAAACAGAGAGAAGAGTGTGTATGCGGGGCAAAGCAATTGAGAGTATGTGAGAGAGACAGAGTCAGTGACAACCACATGGGAGTAGGGGAGGGTGTGTGCAGCATGTCAATACAAATGCTAAATCACTCCAGGGCTTTCCACCAGCTGAAATTTCAGCCTTACTTCAAAGTCAGGTGTAATGCAGAGAAAAGAGAAGGGTCAAGAGAAAGAGGAAAATAACAGATGTTTGCATTTTTACTCCTATTAAATGTATAATACTTAAACACAAAATCCACCTTATAATTTAGCTAATTCCTTTTCTCCTTTTTTGAAAAGTATATAGTAATATTTCCCCCTGCTGCTGCTGTTATTCTGTTTCACTTAACACAAAGATATCTGCACTCAATCTACACATGTATAACCACATGGCAAAACCTCGACTACTGCTTGCAGCCTTTAGCACTGGCTCCCTGAAGGGATACTTGCAAGCCTCTGTATTTATGAAGGTGTAATATCCTACCTGGGCTGCACTCGCAAATCCTCTCCCATCCCTGTAACAGGGTGGCCCAGGGGATGGATGGGCTGTTGGATGGATGGCTTTGAGAGTGCAACATGACAATTGAGAAACATGATATGACAGGTCAGGAAGCGTGAGGAAAGGGAGGGGAAGAAGGGAGAGATTGAAGAGCAGAGACCCTTGCTTCGAAGTACAATGTCTAAAGGGAAATAAAATGTGGCAATTTAAGTAAACCTTTATTTGTAAATCTATCATAATAAGTTATTTAATGTTTTTTATTTGTTTTTACAGCAAATACTTGGGGTTTTCCCTCTTTAGCAGACTAAAGTATATTCTTCATGTGATTGATGATGTTTCATCATATAGATACAAGAAAATAGGGGGTCAGAGGCCACATCCTGGAATCACAGAATGATGTAGTGCTTTGATATTTCTTTCAACGGGTCTCCAGAAACTCATAGGTGGAAGACAACATAAATTCAAGGATACATTCGTACACCACCTGATCTTGAACCAATGGCCAGAATCTTCTGCACAGGGTCAAAGGCCAAAGCTGTGGGCTGGTATGGGAATCCATGCCGGACAGTCTGCACAAAAAACAAAAACAAACAAAAAACACTCAGATAAAACTGATCTTTATCAAATATTAAAGATAATTTAAAATCCTCAGGTTTTTTCATAAAAAAACATTTTTATCTGCAGCTGAAAACAAATATAGTAATACTGTCTACCTTTTTCCTGTCTTTCCCTGTTTTTTGTGATATTTTACATTGTGATTGCAATTACAACAGTCTCCCATAATCCCTTTATAGAACACAACTCAATGTTGTACTGTATTTTGACCATATTTATCTATTTATTTTGCACTGCACTGAACCTTTTACATATCAATTTGCACTATGACTTTTAACTAGTTTTCATTGTCTCCTACACTGTCTACATTCTTGATCACTGCTGCACTTTGTAATTGGGTAATGTTCATTTCACTGTGGTAAGCTACTTACTCACTGTTGAAAGATGTATTAATCGAAATTCCGTATAAAGAGAGTGCATACAAGATGAAAATAAAATTGTCCTAACAGTCTGCTTCTGTAATGTCTGCTTAAAATCTTCAATCTGTGGTTAAAGAAAAGTATCCATCTATTTGTCCGTTTTCTTAGAAGTAACTGGGTTCAGGTTGCAGGGATAACAAATCTAGTAGGAAAAACCTAGACATTCTTCTGCCCGGCAGCTCTCACCAGCTCACTTGGGGGAAGTGCAAGGCCATCCCAGAATAACGATCCTGGAGCAGGTTTATGGTCAAAGAGTTTCCATCTAGTTGGAGAGGCACAGAAAAACCTCCAAAGGGAGGTGCCTGGAGGAATTTTGCCTATATGCCAGACTCTCTTCTACAGATTTCTTTGAATGATTATGAGCTTCACCTTTACTTTTGGCTCACCTAGATGAATACACTCTCTGAGCTGTCATTATAAGGCTTAATCCAAGTTGCAGTGGGGGCTAATTTAATCTGCATTGGAATGAAAATTAACTGCTTCATTTTTTAGCTTAACTCTTTCTACACCGCATCAGCCACCAGTAGCATTTGCCTTATTTTCAGTGACGCCAAAATCCATCTCTCTTTGACTGGTTCTACTGTACCCCTCTAACACTCATGACCAATACACTAAGACAAAAGAACTCTTGCATTTAAGGGCAGAGAATTACAGTAGACACTAAGCAAACTATTTTCCAGTTGCGATCCATGTATTTCAAGGCAAGGCAATTTAATTTGTATAGCACAATTCAGTACATGGACAATTCAAAGTGCATAACATATATATTTTTTTTTTAACCTGAATTAGATAAAAAAAAAAGAGAAGAGAAATAAAAACTGAATAAAAGCTAAAACATTTGTAAAACAAACTAATTTCACCACAAAAAGTAGAACAAAAGCATGTAAAATACAAATAAAAAACAGGATAAAGAAATTAAAACAATTGGATGACAACCTTAAACCAATACCCCAGTTAGCATTTTAACTTCAACAGTAGAATGCAACTCTAAACAAATGGGTTTTAACTTTGACTTAAAAGAACTCAGGCTTTCAGCACTCATAAAGTCTTATACAGTTCCAGATAAGTGGAGCATAGGTACTAAATGCCACTTCCGCATGTTTGGTTCTCGTTCTGGGTGAACAGAGTAGGCTTAAACTAAAAGACCTGAGTGGTCTAGGAGGTTGACACACTGACCACAAATCTGTTATCTATTGTAGTGCTGATCCATTCAGTGATTTATAGACTAACAGAAGGATTGTAACGTCCATTCTCTGAGCAACAGGGAGCCAGTGGAAGGATTTTAGAACCGGGCTGATGTGCTCTACTTTCTAAGTTCTAGTGAGAACATGGGGAGCAGTAGTGTTTTGGATCAGCTGCAGCTGTCTGACAGACTTTTTTTATGCAAACCTATGAGGATACTGTTGTAGTATTCATTTCTGATAAAGATAAATGAATGAATGATTTTTTTCTAGATCCTGCTTGGACATTAGTCCTTTAATCTTGGAAATGTTCTTCAGGTGATAAAAGGCTGACTAAGTAACTGTGGCTCTGAGGGTTCAGGTCTGAGTCCATCAAATAAAACAATCTCATGCTAGCTGCCTCACACTCTGCCGCATATCACTCTATTGCACCCTATGGGGATCAAATCAAGTTGCCAACAGAACCACATCAGCCACAAAAACAACAATGAAATCTTGATGTTCTCAAACCAGACAACCTTTCCTACACACCTATGCCCTGAGGTGCTCTCTATGAACAACACAAAGGTTTGTCAAAGTGCAATTCTAAAAGAATCAAAGAATCTTGAAACAAGTTTAACATTTTGCTGATAAGGCAAAAAGCAAGAAAAAGTTATCTTATTAATGTTCACATTTCCTTTGCCAAAACAAAACAGTATAGCTAAAAGGAAAATAGATAAATTTACGGGTAAGCAAAAATAAAATTGCTTTTATTTTAAACCTGTCTGATAAGAGATCTAGTTGATTGTATCATAATTTTGTTGTGCTAAAAAATTAGAGAAAATAATGCCTTAAGAAGCAACAAATAAACATTACCATTTGTTCATAATGTAGCCAAGTTCTGGTATGACGTTAATCTAATTGGCTTCAGCTGTCTCATTCTGAAGGCTGACAAGGCAAAACAAGACTGCCTCTCAAAGGTCTGTGATGAGAGGCCCTGCATGCTCTGCAGCTGCCTGCCATTAGTCATGTTAAATATCCCAGCGGACTGTCACTTGCAATAATCCTGCTCAGAGGGGATGTACATGAGAAACATTGACATGATGGTGGCTGAATAAAAGCCCAGCAGTAGGAGGAGATTTCTTAATAAGATATAACATAAAAATCATCATACACAAAGCTGCAAAATATATGCTGCGACAAAAACAACTAAAATAAGGAGGGGACAACTCTCTTTATGCAAACAAACCCAAGCAAAATGAGTTAATGCATTATAAACGGGATGCTGAATAAGACAGGCGCTAAATGGTGCCAACTTTACTTATTCATTGGTAGAGTTTTACATGTTACACTGTTTTAGAAATGAACTAAATCTTCTTTCTCCAGTTTAAGCAACTAAAATTTTTAATGTCACATTCTCTCAAAATTCACAATACTAGTCCACATGTTGCAAGGTAAATATGACAGCAGGATTTGCTTTGGTCTTCTTTAAAACAGAAACATATTGCTTAATAGTCTTCATCTTAACTATCCCATAAACGAACTCAGTCAATAACTTAATTATTGCTCAAAG